CTATTAATTCCCTCAATAACACTGAAGAAATATACAGCTCAAGGGAAAGGACCCCAAAATATGGTGTTCCTCAGGGTAGTATTTTGGGGCCTTTATTATTTATACTCTATATAAACGACCTACCAAAGTTTACTGAGCATCACATGACTTTATTTGCAGATGATAGTACATTAACCATAGCATGTAATAATAACAACTCAATAATATACAAAAATGACATAAATAAGTCACTGACATCAATAATAGCTTGGCTGGATAATAATAATTTAAAGATAAATTTAGACAAGACCAAAATTATGCATTTTGAACAACGTTCAAAACTCATATCAAAGTTTGAAATAAGTAATGAGAATAAAATTATAGAAAAGGTGGATAGCACAAAATTTCTTGGTTTAATTATGGACAAAAAACTGGACTGGAAATTACACATCAGCGAACTATGTAAGAAACTCAATCAATCTGCATACGCACTGCATAAGTTGGCTTCAGTGACAAATATAGAAACGTTGCTTACAGCATATTATGGAATGGTCGATACACATTTAAGATATGGTGTTATATTTTGGGCAAATTCTACGGACAGGGAGTTAGCATTCAAGGCACAGAAGAGATGTATTAGGTCAATGCTGCATATAAAACAAGATGATAGTTGTAGGCCTTACTTCATAAAGCATAAAATACTGACACTTCCTTGCTTATATATATTAGAAATGGCATTATTTGTAAAAAGGAACCCAGATCTCTTCACGAAAGTGTCAGATGTGGTAGTTCGTAATCGAAGAGACAACGATCTAGTATGCATCCCTAGATTTAAGACAGCCCTCATGAAAAAAGGTGTTATTTGTATGGCTCCTAGAATTTACAATAAAATACCAAAACATATAAGGTGTAGCAATGAGAGTGTGTTTAAAAGACAACTGAAAGGCTTTCTTATTGAAAAATGTTTTTATAGAATAAGTGAATTTCTTGAATTTAATTTTTTGACCTATAAAATGTAGTAATACTTAATTTAATTTATTTTTGTTTTTATAATGGATAATAATTGAATGAAATACTCTAATGGATAATAGGTAACTGATTGAAATATTTGTATACCTACTTGTGGGTTGAGCATGGAGATCTATATAATTTGTAACAATAACAACTGTAATGTACCTACCTGTGTTCACAAATAAAGATATTATGATTAATTATAATCAATTACCTTGATCTTTAGTGACTTTGACATAATTTAATTAGGTATTTGAAGAACAGTATTTTTAATTATTTACAGGCGCGCTTCTAGTTCTCGATTTCAGGGGGGGTCAAGTATCGGAATGAAACCAATTACCTATACAGGATGTGAAAAACTAACTGCAAATATTTTAAGAGATGCATCAGTCCATGAAACTGGACCCATATTTTCCCATAGGAACATATAGATCGAAGTTTGCTCCTAGGGGAAAAGCGTAAATTAAAATAATAATTAAAATTTTCCCTCCAATACAAACTGATACGGCCGTCCAACTTTTTTTTTACATTTAGTACTATGTTCCTGCGGAAAATTTGTTCAGTTTCATGAACTTGTGTTCTAAACCCAGCAGTAGTGCAATATTTTTACACCTTATAATACTCGTAATGGAATGCTTAACGCTTGCCATGTATGCCATCATGTTTGCCTAAAGGAAAGTACATTATGCTGAAAAAATACTTCAACCTTAATAATTGCTAGCCAAGTGACGTGCAAGTAATGTTAAGAAAGCAAGAGACAAAAGACGCTGTTGTTGCTGTACCACGCCAAGAGAACGTTATTAAATCCGTTTTATATAATTATAATAAAAGTTAAAATGGCGCACTAAGGGCGCACTTAAGTTTAAACAATTTAATGGCTAGACAGGTGCTGTACTTCTGCAAACCGAATCTAAAGTATACTTGAAATTTTACTAGTGATCGATAATGAAAACTCTGAACCGGCTGGTGAAGATAAGGAACAACTTTCCACAAGGAACATAGATCGAAAAATGAATAAAAAATTTGGACCTCCCATACCAGCTGAATTCAGCTCATCGTCAATTTTGTATGGGGGGTCTTCTCAGAGGGGCACCGAGCCGTATCTACTATACTTATACAACAGCAAAATAATGAAACTGCGTTTCGGGGTAGAGATTTCTTCTTCTTGGATGATGTATAGGGGTCATGATCCCCAGGATCCCACCCCTGAGTCCGCGCCTGACTATTACCAAATTGATTGTGATCGAAACTCATATAATACAATGCAAAGACCTACGACACATTAGTGCTTATACCAACCACTGTATATGCTTAAACCAACCACTGTGATTTAGTTAGAAACCAGTGGGTGACACTACTCGCCAAACAACGTTAGTTCTATAATATCTAGAAGATTTCAATTTTACATCATTCATTAGTTTTCTTTTAGGCACACAACGGAACGGAACGGAATTAGTTTTCGTTTAGGCACACAAAATGGCCACAGATCTGAATAACATTCCATTACATCCCAAGGAGGACACAACTTCGTTTTGGGATTTTAGGGGCAATGGTAAGTTAACACCATCATGTTATTGATATTAAATTAAAATCATTCGGTATTTAAATTTTACGGATCAAATAAGAAAACTTAAAACTAAAGAGCGTCAGTCAAAAATCCCATCCCATCACATTCCCGGCGCAAAGGCTTTTCATTACTCACCGCTTGAATGGCAATGAAAAATGGACAATGGGAAATAGGCAGCCTCTACACCAAAAATGGCTTAAAGCAGAGATCACAACTTCTCTCCCTCAGGCGGCACCCAATATCTTTGAAGTAGGCTTTTGCCTCACTTTACCAGAACCCAGTCTTCTCCACAGCAAAATATAATTGAATTTAATATAATTGAATTCATCTGTCACACACCTAAATTATTGATTAAATCGTGGATTTATCGTTCAAGCTTTGTTTAAGCATTTTATTTGAATCTGTTTTGAATCTTTACTTCCATACTTCATTTTAATTTTTTCTTCCACAGATCCCAAAGTGGACTCCTGGCCCTTAATGGGAAGCCCAGTACCAATTTTATTAATATTAACATCCTATTTTTTGATGATTGCTATTGGACCAAGGCTGATGAAAAATAGAGCGCCATTCAAACTTGACAAAATGTTAATGTATTACAATGGTATCCAAGTGATAATTTCTGCAGTTCTTGCTTACAAGGTTACTATTTAACATTTTGATTTCTCTAACCTGGGTTACTAAAATATTTTGCTTTTCTCAGTATGTGTCTGTCGTGGAATCTGCTTACTCATCCTAAACCACGAAACGGATTTTAATTCATTTGAGAAAGATTTACTATGTGTCTTGGGTTTGATTCGGTTTAAACCTTATCTTACTAGTAAAAATTAAAAATATAAATTTTATGTCAATTTTTAATAGAATGCTTAAGTGAAATACATATTTTTTTCTTTGTGTTTTGCAGATTGTAGAAAAAGGCATTTTCAAGAATGGGTTTTTGCTTGGCGGTTGCCATTATCCAATGAAGACAAAAGATGAAGAGGTACGTACGTACAAAACAAATAACTTAGAGCAGTGAATGATATAGTTAGGTATATAGCCTATCACTTATCAATTGTAAAATGGTTTCTTTCAGATTTGGATAGGCCATTACGTATACTTCCTGTCTAAAGTAACAGAGCTTCTTGACACCGTTTTCTTTGTTTTAAGAAAGAAAAACAACCAGGTAAGCTTTATACCGTATTGTATATTTAGTAATACAGCGCGTAGCTATATTTAGTATTCTTTGGTTATACCTACCTACCTGATATATTTATTTATTTATATCAACAACCATATACGAAACAACTGTATTAAAACACAGATTTGGTTCCGATCTGATCTGAAGACGAGTTTGAGACAGTCGAATAACTGGGATGCCTATAAGTTGATGTTTTTCTTGTATGCCCCAAAAGGGTACAATCCTATCAACATATTTTCATTGTCCCTAGATCACGTTACTCCATGTCTACCATCACTCAACCATGGTCCTATACATGTGGAGCTTCTTCAAGTACTCCCCTGGAGGTGACGGTGCTGTACTGGCTTTCCTCAACTGCTGCGTCCATACTGTCATGTACACGTACTACTTCCTATCAGGGCTTGGACCAAAGTACCAGAAGTTCTTGTGGTGGAAGAAATATGTAACTGAAATGCAGTTGGTGAGTCCTTTTATTGCAAAATAATTATTTCATTATCAACAGTTTAATCACTTAAGATTTGCTGGCAACTCTTGCAAAAAACAATATTGAATAGAGCATCTACCTGGATGATTTTATGAGATTAACGCTCAGAGTCTTCTGATCGTTATGCAAACCGCGGTTGTAGGTTTGACGATGCGAATAACTCTACAAATATAATACTGATTATTGTCTTTTCTTGTTCTAGATCCAATTCATTCTAATGCTGACTTACATCGTGTACACCCAAATGTCACCGAAATGTAATTTTTCCACTTTCTTCAATGGATTCATTGGCTTCAACATCAGCGTCTACTTGATACTTTTCCTCGACTTCTACTTTAGGAGCTACAGAAAGAAAAGCGATAAAATAATTAGCTAAAATTATGTTTGCTAACATACTTAGGTACAGTTTCATCCTTTGTTACATTTGCGTTCTTTTTATTATGGGCGTAAACATTAGGAATGTTTGGCCCATTTCTCGTTATTACTAGGTTTTAGTGAAATTAATAGACTTTTATGAATTTTATACTGATTTTTGTACTGTTGTATTTTATAATTAATCTTATTTTTAAATTTAAGTAATGTGATGATGATTGTTTGTTATATGAGTGACAATAGGTACCTATTAAAAATTAAGTAATTAATTTATTATCTTGTCAAATCTAGAGGTGAAAATTATTATATCTATGTCAAATAAAATATATTTTTATATCTATTGGGATTGTAATGCACTCACAGTGCTATATTATTCTCACAAGTGAAAATAAGAAATAGAAAAGATGACGTACATCGACCGGGAATCGAACCCGGGCCGCATGGGTAAACGCCCCACCGCTCTGCCACTGAGCTATCGGCCGTGCATCGATAGCTCAGTGGCAGAGCGGTGGGGCGTTTACCCATGCGGCCCGGGTTCGATTCCCGGTCGATGTACGTCATCTTTTCTATTTCTTATTTTCACTATATTTTTATAATTGATTGCTTCTTTGGCTGGCTAGCACCTTTGAAATCATCCCGCATTGGCATCATTAATTAGTTTAAACATCATTATTATTTTTATACATTAAAATATTAGTTACATAATACTCTAACAGGTTAATCAATAATGTATTTTTAGGGTTTCGTAGTCTACTAGAAACCCTTATAGTTTCGTCAAGTCTGTCTGTCTGTCTGTCTGTCTGTATGCCGCGCCCTCATATCTTCGTCAGTTTTAGAGCTATCGACATGAAATTTGGTGAGAAGATAGATCGTGTTGACCCAAATATAGAAATGTTAAGAAAAAAATATATTCAATATTTTTTGGACCCCCTCCCATACAAGTGAAAGGGGGCAAAAAAATATTTATTCTTCTGTAATATTGAGTAGGGTATCGTTGAAAAGGTCTTTAAAAACTAAAGTGAGGTTTCTTTGAAACAAAGTCACTAAAATGTTTCTGTCACGAGATATTTGCTTCTAAAAAGGGCGTTTTTGACCCATAATTTGTTCCAGCTGTAACTTCTAAAGTATAAACGCTAAAAATTTGAAATAAATATGGAATATAGCTTACAATCTGAAATTACAATGAAAACTTTAACGGATATTGTACCCTTAAAGGTTTCAGAAAAAAATGAGTTTTTCTCTTTGCGGTTGGTCATCATACTGCTGCTAACAAACCAGCAACAAAATTAAGTTTGTAAGGCTGAAAAACCTGATATTTAAATATTGACTACGAAACCCTATTTATGGGCGTGTCTGACACGCTCTTGGCCGGTTTTTTAATTAAGGCAATTAAAATAAACCTATTTACTAAACTAAGAGGTATGGAAGAGCTACGGGAGAGCAAATATTTTTCGTGATTTTAGTTAGGTTGTAAATATTCACGAGTAGCATTGTCTTTTAATACCAGCAACTGCAATTACATTTGCGCACCTACTGGTACAATTTAAACGGATCAAACAAAAAAGAATAAAAACGGTTTATGTATATGTCACCGTAAAATTACAAACAACGCTGGATTGTAATCTATCTCGCTAAATTATAATCTGTCGACATATTGTAACACAATCACATGTATAATTTTTCAGTAGATTACAATATAGCGAACTAAAACCGTATAACTGTGATAACGATACGCAGCTCGCGTTCTGATTGGTCAAGTCAAGCATCATATTGCCAGCGACGTCATGTTTGTTTCACAGCTGATTGCTATTTTGTTGGTTCTCGAACATTAAGAAACAGATTTTGTTTCCTTTTTAAAATTTTGTGTTGAAAATTTCTCATATAAACTTACGAAATAAGAAAATAATCTTATGAACACTGTTTTCTTGCGCTTGATACTTATTCGATACCCATGTAAATGGCGGTCAGCTGTGAAATAAACAAACATGGTAGCGATAATACGACTTTCGACCAATCTGAACGCGAGTTGACAATTTTACCGCTTTACTTCATCATCATTGGCCTCATACGTCTGTGTCAGACGATTTATTCAGTGTCTGAGGCAAGATTTTTCATGGCTGTATAAGACTTTGCGGGAGCGGCATGACTTTTTGCATGCTCTCTACAGACACTGCGTTGCCTGGGACGCAATTATGGAAAACGCAAGGCTGCCCAGGACATGCGCCACCCTCTCGGCCTTCCTGGCTGACTCCACAAGAACGACGGGTCGATACGTGCGGAGCCAGGTCGGCTGCAGGAGTCTGCCGCACGATTTATTACCAGTTACTCGTGCCTGACGGAGACCCCGTTCCGGGTTTTTGTGTGGAGTTTTTCTTCTCTAGGACCCTGATCAGCTTGGGTCGGATTTATCCCTCGGTCGCCTCTTACGACCCCCACAGGAAGAGAGGGGGTGGTGCTATTCTACTCTGCCGGCACCACACGGCTAATATTGTAATATTCTGAGAATTGATACGTGAAACTGTGATCCCTGTGTATATTTTACAATATTTCGACAGATTGTAATCACACGAGAAATATTATAATCTAGCGGTGTTTGTTATTTCACGGTGACATTATATTAGGTGTAAACTGCTTTACAAAAAATTCTTGACTTAATTTACTTACAATATTGCAATCTCCTATACTTAAAAATGCTTTCCTTCTTTTTTCGTAGAAAACAACTTGTTTTAAAAATCCACAATCTACTATATCTAAATATTCTAGTAATAGGTACTTACATTGATTTTATTTACATTACATTCATCAACATTCATTCAATTTACAGTTAACAGTTCATGATAGTCATGGTGTAAATATCAACATAAGCCCCAAACTCCACAGAGAGGACATAGGACGTAGGGCATGACGCTTGACATCGCGACGTTTCCATACAAAATGTACGAAAAAGTATTGACAAAGGCACACACAAGCGTCGCCGAAGCGTCGCATCTATGACAGCTAGCGTCAAAAACTAAGAAGAATATTTGACGATCACTTGTCTGTCAACTGTCATTCTAACGTCCTATGCCCTTCGTCTTTTTGGTGGAGTTTGCGCCTGATACCTACACTATACTGCATTTCACATAGGAAGGGTAGGCTGAGGTTTTGTGACATAGTATTGCCGGCACTCGACCACAAAAGATTTGAAAACTAGTCTGACGGGTTCCAATCGGATCCGATGGTACCCAGAAGGGTCGATTATATTTTTTCTATATTGAACCCTTATTTTTTAACCACTTTCCTTTCCTACACTTGACTTGTATATATTTTTATGATTTTCTTTGTTTTTTCCAATGTTTTACCCATGGATACCCATTAGTTGTTTACATCACGCCAGGTGCGGCGGGCGCGTAAGTGCACGCGTTAACCCACCATTTGTGTGATGCCACGTTAGGATCCGCTCATACTTAAAAATATTCGAAATCGCATCTAATGATCCGCGCCGGCAATTTTACTATAGATGTAGAAGTGTGAAAATCGAACGAAAAAAAACGCTTAGGTTTACCTATTGAGTAGTATTACCCTAAAAACCTAAAAAAGAAATTTTATTGTGTTAATATAATATACTTAAATAGTTTTCTTCATCAGACGAGTCGCTTTAATTCTCGCTTAAATGTGTGACTAATTGGTAGTCAATAAGATTATCGATTTGTATGTCCCTCCATCCCCCCCCACCCCCAAACGTGGAGCACAGTTTCTTTGACTTTTTCAACCACTTTGCTCCAGTTTCATCATTTTGGTAGATAAAAATCGATTATTTTTTCGTTAGATTTAAATACTACTACATCACTAGTTATTTCAAATTATAAACGTCACAGTACCCATCGGCTGTGAAATACTCTATACCGGGAGTAACGGAAAGGGTATAACAAGCCGAAAGAAGGTCAAGGTACTCATGAAACTGAACAACTTTCCCCATATAACACAAAATGGAACATGGGTCGACCCATGTTGGGTCGAAATATGAAAAAAAAATTTGGACCTCCCATAGTAAATCAATTAGATCATCGGCGATTTTGTATGGGAGGTCCAAATTTTTTTTTCATATTTCGACCCATGTTCCATGGGGAAAGTTGTTCAGTTTCATGAGTACCTTGACCTCCTTTCGGCTTGTTATACCCTTTCCGTTACTCCCTGTAGAGTGACATGCAAACATTTACACTTCTAGACTAAGCTCCCATTAACAGTTTTACCTCATAAGTCTACCGATTGAAAGCGTGCTATTACGATAGATCATGTTTAGGAGGTTATAATCATAACAGATGTAGGTAAATTTTGGAAATAAAATAAGTTTTACAAGTAGGATAAAAAAATCTGCCAGAATTTCGGATGGCCACCTATACAATGTTATGACCTCCTAAACTTAATCTATCGTTATATCATACTCCTAATCGATAGACCTATGAGGTAAGACTTTGTCAATGGAAGCTTAGTCTATTCTTTTTTTAAATAATCTACCTAATGCCTACCTGTTACTAGTTAGTTACATCGGTCTAAAAGTAATCTGTCTTCACTTCTACTTCTATCGTATGGGACATCCAGTCGACAAACGACCTGACAAAAGCTGTCAAGCGTTTCTTAAACGCTAAATACAACCAGTGGACCTAATGGTGTACAGGCAGCGCCAGCAGCGTGTCATCAAGCCAAGATATTCTGTTGAATTACCTCACTCCTTGTTTGAAAAAAATAGAAACATTACAGGTCAGTAACCACCATACATTGCAGCCTTATTGATTTTTTGCGTCATCATCATCTTCCTGCCCTTATCCCAATTATTTGGGTTCGGCGAAAAACGTTTCGTTGAACACAAAATCGTGTTGCAAAAGGATTTGCCTGAATTTTACGACCGGCCGCCTACCAGACGTCAACCCTCCTTGGGAATGCTTTTGTGGTGGATTAACTGCTACCATACGGTTGGCCCTGGCCTGGCTGTTAGGGTCGGGTTTATCCCTCGGTCGCCTCTTACGTGCCCCACGGGAAGAGAGGGGGTGGTGCTATTCTACTCTGCCGGTACCACACGGCAGAGTAGAATAGCACGGGTTAAATCAAAATAGCTTATTGAACTGTTTTATGCATAGAAATGAATGTATGGAAGTGAAAGTTGGGAAGGACAGAAACAGCATGAAAGTAGAATAAATTCAGTAGAAATGAGAGCGTTGAGAAGCACGATAAAAGTGAAATTGAGTGACAAGATCAGAACTAGCGTGATAAGAGATACCTCGATGAAATCGGGGACGTGCTTGAGAAAAATCCACGATGCTCGAAAGAACTGAGAATAGAATATCAACTCAGAAAATACTCAAACAGACTTCCTTAAAGTAAATCATTAAATTCTACAAACACTAGCAGAACTTTCACAGTTTTGGCAGATGAAGGCATGATGAAGGTATGATGAAGGGTTTAGAATAACTTAGATAATTTGTGAAGAGAAGACGGTGACG